GAATGTTAGTACCAAGAAAAACATTTAACTTTGCGGGATGTACCCTGATGAGGCAAAAAGTAAGAATGAACTCCAAATTCATTCATTCGAGATGTAACTACTGACTGTTGAGGGAGACCATAACGTTAGAGTCAAAGGCAGCTCTGGATCCCTAAGGGCCAGAATCACGAAGCGGGTCACTCTCAACACGCATCTGTCAGCCGGATTCTAGGCCTCCTGGTGCGCCGTCCGTCAACAGCACCCTGTCCCGGTAGCCACTTTCCCGGCAGGAATGGAGGCCACACGCTCCGGTGTTCTGCTTGGGTTCTAGAACCCTGCTGCTGCCGTCTGGATGAGTCGGTCTTAGAAGCACACAGACCCCAGGAAATCGAAGTTCCCGGGCTTCTCCCTACGGACAGCACGTCCGTGTTTGCAGTGTGGCCGAGCCAGGAGTGTGCCCACGACGGACCCTGGGGGCAGGCTCGCGGAGCAGACGTCTGTGCAGCCGTTTGCACGGGAGGGGCTGGGGAGAGGGACACTGGGTCCAGCCTCATCGCCGCAGGGGCGGCCCGGGGCCTGGCCAGCGGCAGCGGTGCGCTCGGCTAAGAACGCGTCCCAGAGTCCGGGCGGCCGCGGCGGGGCAGGGCGGCGGCGCCGCCGGGAGCCCAGGTGAGGCGGCCGGGGCGCCGGCCCGGCCCTACGTGGCAGGGAGGGGCTGGGCGCCGCCGGGAGGCGGGGAGGGGCGGCCCGCGGGCCCCGCAGGCAGGACGGGGCCCGCGCGCCTTCCTCCCTCTCCCCGCCCCCGGACCTACCGTGGAACTGGAAGTGGCCGATGCGCTGGCCCTGAGCGTCTCGGGCCGCGGCGCTGCTGAAGCTGCCCCTTAGGGTCTTGCTCTGGCTGCCCTGCGGCCACCAGCAGCAGGCGAGGGCTACTGCCAGCAGCCGCACCGGCCCCATCCCCACCTCCCGCTCCGCACCCACCCCGGCCCCTAACCGCCCGCGGCCGCCGGCCCCACGTCGGCAGCGGGGAGGAGACGGAGCCGGTGCGGCGGACCCCGCCTTAGGAGACTAAGAACCAATGACACGATCCCCTTGGCCAAGAGCTAAGGATATCCACCAATCAGGGTTCGGAGAGGGCGGGACTTGGAGATCCACGCGTCCCATCACTCCCCAGCCTTTAGGCTAGTTCCCGCCTTTTTTTAATGGAGAATCGGGAGGATGTTGCTTCAGGTTATGGCAAAGTGATCGCCCTGGTTGCTCCTGCGCGTCCTGTCATTGCGCATGCGCGGACGCCCTGGCCCCTGTGCGTGAGGCCTTTGAGCGCCGTGTGGGTGTCATAGATAACTGAGCAACTCTTGACAGGACCATTTCTGGTCCAGAGAGGGAAACTCCCTCAAAGGGAGAACCACGTTCTTGCTCACTTTCCTCCTTGGTGCCTCCCACTGGCTCGTCCACTTCAGCGACTCAGACACTTTCCATGCCCTAATGCGTTTTTCCTCCTAGGTTCCCTGTCTTCGTGACTCGCACCGCCCAGCAGATCAGACATCTGGGAATTCTGTAACCACCCCCTTACGCCTTCACAGCCTGTAGGTCCGATTACAAATGTTTTCACCCCTCCTCTGGTGATGGCAGAAAGTGGCAGCCACAGTCCGACTCACGCCGTCACCTACACGGCCTGTGACAACCAGCCCGGTCTAGTCTTATTTCTACCTGTCCACAGTCCATCTTTACCTCAGAGCCACGGAAAGATGCAGGAATCCAATTTGATGTCTCACTTCCCTTTGCCACTCTCTGTTGCCCGCAGTGCACAAATCCCCACCCGTACCACTGTCAGTTCGCTGAACACTCAAACTTCTCATCTAGCCCGGATCACTTGCAGAGCCTCCTGGCTGCAATACTTATGCTTATCCTACCACTCAGCCTCATGTCACCTCCCCTTTCTTTACTCCTCATTCCCAAGATAAAAGAAACCTTTTTCAAATCTTAAGTCCGGCCTGAGATTCCATTACTTCCCTAGCAGGGCAGGGCCCAGGAGGTACCGTAAATGCGAATTTTTGTGAATCCTCCACTGTGTTGTAAGCTCCAGTTGGTCAGAAACTATGCCCATCTTGAGGTAAGTAGGAGGTCAAAATTACTTCATGAATAAACAGATATAGATTATTTTCATTCAATGAGATTTTATAACATGTAAGTAAGTTCTCACAACAGACTTCACTGTTCAGAAAAGCACTCTTGAAGGAGTACCTCCTATCATATACTCGGCAGTTTCAGTATCTCGCTGACGAGGAATAATTAACCAAGCTGTGTCTGAAGGGCACTTCCTTTTTGGCTATTAATACTGCCTGCCAGGTTGTTGGTCGGAGCTCTGAACCTCTCCTGATTCTGAGTGCTGCCCAGGTCAGGAGTTGTTCTTTGCACAAGCAAACCCTGCTCACTTTATCTAAAGGTTTTCTTTGGACAGTGGTAATTGTAAACCAAGTGCTATTCAATTGGAGTCTTTTCACTTGAGGTATCACCAAGTGACCAGCCTGAAGCAAGAGTTCCTCAGAACAGAAAGCTTTATTTACTTTTGACAAATAAAAGAGAAAGTGGGAAGGACTAGTTCCCTAAAGAAATCTGCCCCCACAGTTGGCCAGGGCTTTTATACAAGGATTAGGGGAGTTCCCCGGATGTAGAAAAGGGAGAGCAAAGGGGCATTTGCTGCTCTAGCAAAGCACATCTTCATTCAGAAATCTGACTCAGACTGATCTCTTGCAAGCTTCCTTGCCAGTGGTGGTGGTGTGGGGTCCCGTCTGACTGCCATGTTGTAAGATAAGGCTTCCTGAAAGATCCTCTGAAAAACAAGCTCAAGTGAGTCAACCGGTTCATCCTCTGCACACGTTCTTGTGGCCTTCTCTAGCCTAAATCCTACACTCCTGATTGTGCAAAGATGGAATAAAATTGGTCCTGAAGGAAAACCTGAACACAGGCCTGGAACTCCATGAGACCTCTCCTCTCTCCTTCCTTGCCTCTCTCCCTTCCTTCCACAGAGAAAGAGAGAAACAGAGTTTCCATCCACAAGTTCACTTCCCAAGGTGGGAACTCAATCCAGGTTTCCCATATGGGTAGCAAGAAGCCAATACCTTGAGCCACTACCGCCCACCCCATAGCCTGCAATAGTGGGAAGCTGGAATCAGGAATCCCAGCTCAGATGTCAAACCTAAGCACTACCATATTTTATCCACTGGGCTCAATGCTCAACTTTAACCACTAGGTTAACCTATAGGCTAAATGGCCAGCTTAACCACCACGCTCAACATCTGGCTTCCACCCTCCCCTTGATTATTTTTGTTTCTCTCTTTTTTATTTTACTTGAAAGGCAGAGTTAACAGGGAGAGACAGAGAGAGAAAGAGAGACATACTGGTTCACTCCCCAAATGGCCCCAATGGCCGGGGCTGGGCAAGGCTGAAGCCAGGAGCCTGGAACTCCATCCGGGTCTCTCATGTGGGTGGCAGGGGCCCAAGCACCTGGGCCATCTTTCACGGCTTTCTCAGGCACATTAACAGGGAGCTGGGTTGGAAGTGGAGCATCTGAACCTTGAATCATCCCTTACAGGGGATGCCGGCATTGCAGACAGAGGCTCAACCATTGTGTCATGTTAGTTTTCCTCTCTTGAAGAGATGCTTTTTGGTTCCCTGGTTCATTTGCAAGAATATTGTCACCAACAATAGTCAAATTTGTAGGACCTCAGACTTCAAGAAGGGCAACTGGCCATACTAGAATCTTGGTCTAATTTAAAATCGCAATAAATGGCTTTCAAAAGCCCTAGGATAAATCAGGTGCCCATCCTGTGGCCTGCCTGGGAATCATGGGTCAACTTGGGGACGTGTCGAAGGCTGGGAGTCTGGTCAGAAAAAAGAGTAAGAACACACCACAATCTATTTTGGTCCTCATTTCATGTTGGTACATTCTTTTTAAAGGTCTATTATGTTTTAAAATTTAGAAAATATAATACACATTTAGATTGTCTGTTTTTCATTAGCAAGTAGTAATTTAGCAACAAATAATTATCTACATTATACATCATGGAATTTGTGGGTCATACAGTAAGTATGTATATTTAAGATTTCATACATATGACCACTTTGCCACCAAGAAGGGTTGTAACAGATGAGCGATCCATATAGACGTCATTCTAATTCTTTCTAGGCTTTACTGAAACACACATGTGGAAAAAAAAAGATATTTTGCTCTTCTATTCTACAATATTTATTGTTTGGTGTATACTGTGCCAGGCCTGGTCTTGGGGACTTGGGGTTACAGAAGGAAACAAAATGAAGACTTCATGGAGCTGTGGGAGCAATTACATCAAGGTATAGTTGAGAAGTGCTATGCGTAAAAGTAAAGAAGGCTAACACAGTCTGGCCGGGCTGGGTAGAGCTTTCTATTTGACTTGTGGTTGTGAAGGAACGAGTTTCTAGTAGGATGACATTCAAGCCGAGAACTGAAGAAGTGAGGGCAAGGGAGATCCAGACTCCGGGGGGCGGGGGATTAGTGTGCTTGGCCAGCTGACGGCGGAGCTAGGGGTGGGAGGCTAGGGCACCGTGAGCAATGAGGAAGTCACAGGACAGGCTATACTAGGTGGGCTCCAGGAAAAAGTCATGACTGCCAGCAGCCTGAGCTGACAGACCAACAGCACATTATGAAAGCTCATTTTGCAACGGCAACCTCCCATCTCCACACCCTGCAAAAAGAAAACTGCCCCAAGTACAAGAAGGCGCTCATTCACAACTCTAGCCTTCTAGAGCCTTATTCATAGAGGCGACACTTGCCGGAAAAACTTTCCAGATTCAGAGCCCCAGTGACCCCACATGCTCTCCCCAGCCCGGACGGTCACGGAGCAGAGCTGCGCCTGCGCAGTGGCGCTGCGCGGCCCCGCCTAGCCCATCCGTGGGCGGGGATCGCTTCTCCGGAAGCCGCCTGTGACTTCCCCGTTGACGCGTCGGGAGAGGGAGGCCCGTCGCAAAAAGTCGTGGTGGACCTTCCCTTTCCGTGGTGGACCCAGCGCTTTACGGTGCTGAGCTTTGCCGAGCTGGGAGATGTCGGCGGCGGGCTGGGTGGAACCTTTGGGTCTGCCCTGCAGCTTTGCGAAACGGGTCCTGGTGACCGGGGGTGCTGGTTTCATGTAGGTAACGGCGCCACTGGCCGAGCAGTGGCTCCCTGGAACTCCCGACCTTTTCCTGAGCTCTGCTTGCCACTGGCAGTTTGGGTCCAGCTTTTGCGGGGGAGGGGTCTGACATGGGGTCCTGATGCACGAACGGGATCCTCCTCCCTTCTCTCCTCTCCCTGGCCTGCAATGACGGGTTCTTTTGAAACTGCGACCTCTTGTAAACGCCTCCCTCCCAACGCAGGAGTGCTGTGCCACTGTCCCATTCTGGTTGGCCCAGATCCTTGCCACCTGGCACCTCTCCGAGTGCGCACGCCAGACATAAGCTTCCCAGCCCGGAGCCCCCTACCATCACGAGGACGATTTGGGCAGTGAGATGGGGCTTGCATTATTTATTTATCAAGCAGGCTTGATAACGAGTCCTCTGTCTTGGTGCTTGGACCTGTGCTAGACTTGCGATGTCCTTTTCTCTCTCACACTCATTTGGTCAGCACGAACTCTGTCCACTTCCAAAGCTGTCACTAAGGGGACTTCTTCTCGGCCTCTCTTCCTCTTCCTCACCTGGATCACGGCCGTAGCTTCCGGCTTGACCATCCTGCTTGCACCCTTGGTCTTCCTCACACAGAGGCAGCGTTTCTGAACGAAATCAGATCTAGTTGCTGGGTGAAGTTTTGCTCCATCAGGCTTCCGTCCGAGGTAGAAGCTTCCCTGATGGAAAGACTCGAGCGCTCACGCCCTGCTTTCCCACTCGGATCCCTTGGTTTGCCACACCTGCCGCCCAAAAACTCTTGGAGTTCTTGGCACACACTAGGCTAGTTCTTGCTTTTATCCGGAGGCCCTAGCCTTTGCTTCACCTTTACTGCGGTCAGTTTTCGCCCCTCAATTCATGGTTGTTGTTTTTTTTTTTTTTTTTGCATGCAGAGTGGACAGTGAGAGAGAAAGGTCTTCCTTTGCCGTTGGTTCACCCTCCAATGGCCGCCGAGGCTGGCGCACTGTGGCCGGCGCACCCCGCTGATCCGATGGCAGAAGCCAGGTGCTTCTCCTGGTCTCCCGTGGGGTGCAGAGCCCAAGGACTTGGGCCATCCTCCACTGCACTCCCTGGCCACAGCAGAGAGCTGGCCTGGAAGAGGGGCAACCGGGACAGATTCCGGTGCCCCGACCAGGACTAGAACCTGGTGTGCCGGCGCCGCAAGACGGAGGATTAGCCTGGTGATCCGTGGCGCTGGCCTCAATTCATGTTTTTACTCACATATCACCGCCTCCAGAGGCCTTACCTGACCACTCTTTAAAATAGCCCCCTCCCAACTAACACACTGAGCGCCACCTGAAATTCTATGGCGGATTTGTTTGCTTGCTTACTGCCCGTGTTCCCACTCTAGATTGTAAACTCCCTAGAAGGCAGACTGGTGCGTACCCAGGAGTGGAAGAATGGCTGACCCATTTTATGAAGGTCCTCAGTAATTGCTGAATGGAATGACTGTATGAGTGACTAATAAACAGGAAACCCCCCTGCCCTCAGGAAACTCTGTGTCTAGTGAAAGAAGAGTGAATTGGAGGTTCTTGCTCATTAGCATGTGAAATCACCCCCTTGTAATCTGACAGTCACTTGGCCAAGGGTACCAGGCAGGCAAGTTTCACTTAACGAGGAGTGGAACACGGAAATGAAGTAGTGCTTGTGTGAGAGCTGTGGTCCAGCCAGGGTATGTCCCAGAAAATGATGTGAAAGGGCTTCCAAGTACAAACTGCATTCATAATTTGCTCAAGGTCTCCCCCTGTTCCTGGGGGACCGTTGTTTTACATCTGTAGTAACAAAACTATGGTCAATGATCTCACGGAGTGAGGCCCTGCTAGGCTACTCCGAAGCCAGGAGCCACTAGGGCCAGATAACTTAGGGTGGTTTCCACCGTATTGGCCTGGGAAACCTAGGTTCAGTCGTTGGAGTCTGTGTCCCCTCCTTCTCCCCACCAGGAATCTGGTTCATACAATCAAATTCTCCTACCAAGAGAAAGCAGTTGTAGAAATTACTTTATAAGCATAGACAAGTGACCATGTTCATACTCATCTAATTTTTGCTTAATTACATCTGCAATTCCTGAAAAGGCACATAGTTTCAGTTTGGTTGTGCGGACTGGTACCCATTGTACTTACCATCCTGCTTGACTCTCACATGAGAGGCACATGTGAACAGCATCATTTGATTAAACAAATATTTCTCCTTATATCCAGAACAGTACATTCTCTATTCTACATAGACTAAAGGGAGCATAAGACTTTGCTTATAAATATTATTGCGAAGTTTAGGGAAGGTATGTGTGTGTGTGTATAGTGTAGTTATGTTGTTTCTGGTATCTGAAAAATTTAGAGTTATCTTTGAATGATTTCCAAGTATTTGATAGTTTAGGAAAACACTGTAGAATTTAGGAAGATTGGCATTTTCCACCAACATAATTTTCTTTTCTTTGTAGTGCATCACATGTGATTGTCTCTTTAGTAGAAGATTATCCAAATTATATGATAATAAATCTAGACAAGGTGAGTTTTACAAAAATGAGCTTCATGCACTGAAATTGCATTTTAATCCTGTTAAAATATTTAAAACTACTAGAATCCTGTTTATATTTTCATTTTTACTTAGTGGTTTTAGTGACATAGAGGTCTGTGTAACCATGTGCTCATGCTGCATTTGATCTTATATAAAGTCTTCTGAAACTTTCACTTATTATGCTACTCTATAAAGTAATAGTTATAAATGCTGTATTTTTACCAAAAGAAAACCTTCACCCATTCTGAATTCAGTAGTTCATATAGTGGGATAACTCACATTTTTTGGTCTTGGGCTACTTTATTTTGTAATGTTGCATTTGTTTTCAAACTAATTCCTTTTCTGTAAAAAACCTTTCTAGTCTCTAGTGGCTGGAGGGAAAATTGGGCAGGTACTTTTTTTAGAGTAGAGGTTTATAAAAAGTTTCTTTGTGTGTATTCTGACTAAGAAACAAAGTTACTTGTTTTTGGCTTTTAAGATGTCAGGATCTTAACATTTTTAAGAAATGATATGTTCTTCTATGTAATTATTAACATCTATGATCTTTAAAATAAATTAGTATTTTATGGGAAGAACTAATGTTATCACTTTTTGTGTTGTCCCACTTCCTGCTCCCATACTCTCTTAAGCTGGATTACTGTGCAAGCTTGAAGAATCTTGAAACCATTTCCAACAAACAGAACTACAAATTTATACAGGTATGGAATTCATATATAGCATCTCTTTAGTCATGCAGAGTTTATAAGATCTTTCTCCTTTATAAACTTGTGTAATATGGCCTTGGAAGGCATATTTTCAAAGACCTTTTGAAAGATCAGGTAATTTTATTTTTAAAGATTTATTTACTTATTTGAAAGCCAGAGAGAGAGAGAGACAGGCAGAGAGAGAGAAATCTTCTGGTCTGCTAATTTACTACGTGGATGGCTGCAATATCCAGGGCTGAACCAGGCCGAAGCCAGGAACCAGGAGCTCCATCCTGGTCTCCCTCAGGGGTAGCAGCAGAAGCACTTGGGCCATCTTCCACTGCTTTTCCAGGCACAGCGGGGAGCTGGGTCAGGAGTGGACTAGCAGGACTCCATCTGGCACTCTGATTTGGAATGCCAGTATCAAGCATAGTGACTTAGCTCACTGTGCCATGGTACCTACCACTATAACTCTATTTGTATCCATAAAATTTAAAAGAACATATTAAGCAACCATTTCATAATTCTTTCTGTATAAGTATGTTCATTACTAAAGGATTGTTGAGAAGGTGTATTTGTAAAGCAATTAAATGCTTAAAAACATCAAAAGCACAAATATTTTACTTAATTGTGGAAAATACAGTTTCCTTTTTTTAAAAGATTTATTTATTTATTTGAAAGTCAGAGTTACACAGACAGAGAAGGAGAGGCAGAGAGGGAGAGAGAGAGAGAGGTCTTCCATGTGCTGGTTCACTCCCCAGTTGGCCGCAACAGCCGGAGCTGGGTCGATCTGAAGCCAGGAACTAGGAGCTTCTTCTGGGTCTCCCACATGGGTGCAGGGGCCCAAGAACTTGGGACATCTTCTGCTTCTTTCCCAGGCCATAGAAGAGAGCTGGATTGGAAGTGGAGCAGCCAGGTCTCGAACCGGCGCCCATATGGGATGCTGGCACTGCAGGCAGCAGCTATACCCCTTACACCACAGCGCCGGCCCCCAATACAGTTTCAAAATATCATTTCAGTTGTTACATTTACTTTAAATATATTTAAGTAATGGTTATTTCATAGGATTTTTCTAAAGCATTAAAACTTTCCCTATTAATATTCTGCTTGTAAGTTGGCAAGAATGTTATGAAAAAACTAGCACAGTACTTAGTAGTAATTGGTACTCAGTAAAATACTGTTTCACATGTACTTGGGGAAATATTTTGAATTGAAATGCTGGAGAAACACACCATTACTATATGTTCTTGACCACCTGATTAAACTTTGAAGATATTTGCTATTAAACTGGGAGGTGGGAAGGGAGAGATGCTGTAGTAAAAGTGATTTTTGTGAATGAGAGCACTCAGTGACACTTAGTGTTTTCATGTCCGCTTTTTCCTACAGGGTGACATATGTGATTCTCACTTTGTGAAACGACTTTTTGAAACAGAGAAAATAGATATAGTACTACATTTTGCTGCACAAACACATGTAGGTAAGCATTGTTTTATGTTATAATTAGTAGATTTTCCGCCCGTGGTTACCTAGTGTAAATCTAAAGTCCAGTAATGGGGCTGAATGAGTAGATACTTAGTACAGATCCTTGAAAGAGGATATACCTTGATGAATCGGAAAGTCAGGCCCGTGGTCACCATGTCATTAATATACCTGGCATTTTTACATTGTTTTTGTTAATTAGGTTGAAATACGTCTTCGAATGCTATCATAATGCCTTGAATTTAAACAGATTCAGCTTAGTGACTGCTTCTGAAGGAGAGCAATGGGCAGATGAGCTTTCAACTGGGTGTTTTCTATTCTTTTTCTTAAGTTGGGTAATAGGATACATAGGTAAACATTGCATTTTTATTTATACCACCTTATACAGCTGAGATATTTTCTAATAATGAGTCTAATATTTTTGTGACATATGTATTGAGCAGAATTTAGAAGCATGGTTAAGTAAAAAGTGGTGATGTGAGTAACCATGTAGCCATCACCTGAACAATAGACAGAATGTCAGAGAATCCTTTTTAGTAGTCATGCTACTACTACTTATGGCCTTGTTTCAGGTTATAGTTCCTTTGCTTCTAAATTTTCCTGTTTATATATTTATTCCTGAACAATGTATTGGTTGTGACTGCTTTTAAATTTTATTAACATGTATGTATAAAATTACATGTATGATTTTTTTGGTCTTGATTTTACAAAACCCATGGATATTCATCCGTGTGGTTGAGTGCATGTATTTTGTTCGTTTTCAGTGCCATACAGTATTCCAGTCTAAGGGTGCACCACAATTTACTTACATATTTTACTTTTGATGGTCATTTGACTTCTTTACACTTTTGGACAATTTTGAACAGTACTATCCTGAACATTGTTAATCATGTGTTATTGCACACATTGGTACACAGTACTCTTGAGTATATAACTAGGGTTATAAGATCTGCCTACTTCAACATTGAGATCATGGCAGACTGCTTCCCAAAGTAATTATATCAGTTTGTACTTCTCCAGGAATATATGAATTCCTATAACTCTAGATCTCAGTTTTGTCCAATTTTTCCATTTTTGCCAATCTCAGCACCATGTAGTAATCTCTCATTGTGCCTGTCACTTGTATTTTCCTTGTTTATGAACAAGATTGGATACTTTTAATGTGTTTTTTAGTTAATTGAATTCCTTATTTTGTGAAATGCTGTTGAAATATTTTGTCCATTTTTAAATTGGTTTACTTTTTTCTCTTGAAAAGAGGAGTTTCAGTGAGAAAAATGAGTAATAGTTTTTTTTAAAGATTTATTTATTTATTTGAAAGGCAGTGTTACAGAGAGGCAGAGGCAGAGAGAAAGAGAGAGAGAAAGAGAGAGAGAGGTCTACCATCTGCTGGTTCACTCCCCAAGTAACCACAATGGCCAGAGCTGGGCATATCTGAAGCCAGGAGCCAGGAGCTTCTTTCAGGTCTCCCAGGTGGGTGCAGTGGGTGTAGTGGCCCGAGGATTTGGGCCATTTTCGACTGCTTTCACAGGCCATAGCAAAGAGCTGGATTGTAAGTGGAGGTGCTGGGTCTTGAACCGGCGCTCATATGGGGTGCCGGCACTGCAGGCAGAGGCTTAGCCCACCATGACACAACTTCAGCCCCAGTTTTTATCTATCTATCTATCTATCTATCTATCTATCTATCTATCTATCTATCTCTGTCTGTCTGTCTATCTATCTATCTATCTATCTATCTATCTATCTATCTATCTATCTATCAAGGCAGAGTTACAGAGAGAGGAAAAGACAGAGAGAGAAGTCTTCCATCTGCTAGTTCACTTCCCAAATGGCTACAACAGCTGAGCTGGGCTGATCCAAAGCAGGGTGTTGGATTGGAAGTGGAGCAGCCGGCACTCAAACTGGTGCCCACATGGGTTGCCGACACCATAGGCAGAGGCTCAACCTACTATGCCACAGCCCCGGCCCCCATGAAATTGTAGTTTTTATGCATTGTGGACATGAGCTCTTTATTATGTGTATTACAAATGTCTTTTCACACTCTGACTTCTCACGTTTTTGGTAGTATGTTTTGATAAATGGATGTTCTTTTATTTCTTTTTATTTAAAAAAAAATTATCTGAAAGGCAAGGAGAGAGACAGAGAGAGAGAGAGAGAGAGAGAGAGATCTTCTATATGCTGGTTCACTCCCAAGTGGCTACAACAGCTGAGGCTAGGCCAGGCTGAAACCAGAGCCAGGAACTCCATCTGGGTCTCTCATGTGGGTAGCAGGAACTCAGTTACTTGCGCCATCATCTGGGGCCTAGGCACATAGCAGGGAACTGGATAGGAAACAGAATAGCTGGGACGTGAACTACTACCCCCATTTGGAATATGGACATCCCAAGTAGTGACTTGACCTGCTGCACCACAACGCCTGACCTGATGTTCTTAGTTTTAATGTAGCCGAATTTGTGTATGTCTTTTTCTTTACAGTCCATGCTTTTTAGTTTTAAGAAGTTCTTTCCTACCCCAAAGTCATGAAGGTACTTTCTCCTGTATTGGCTTCTAAAAGATTTATAATCTTGCTTTTTGCTTTTAGATTAGTAACCCATCTGACATTTTTTTTAAGATTTATTTATTTATTTATTTGGAAGTTAGAGTTACACACAGAGAGAAGGAGAGGCAGAGAGTGAGAGAGAGAAAGAGAGAGAGAGAGAGGGAGAGATATAGGGAGAGAGTGAGAGGTCTTCCATCCGCTGGTTCACTCCCCAGTTAGCCGCAACAGCTGGAGCTATGCTGATCCAAAGCCAGGAGCCAGGAGCTTCTTCTGGGTCTCCCACATGGGTGCAGGAGCCCAAGTACTTGGGCCATTGTCTACTGCTGTCCCAGGCCATAGCAGAGAGCTGGATCGGAAGTGGACCAGCCAGGACTCGAACCAGTGCCCATGTGGGATGCTGGCACTGCAGGGAGCAACTTTACCCACTGTGCCACAGCTCCGGCCCCTGAAATTTATTTTTATATGTGTATGAGGTAGGGGGCTAATTCCATTTTCTCCATTTGAATACCAAATATTCCTATTCTATTTATTGAAAAGTTCACTGGTTTTGTCACGTGTCAAGCACTCTGATTCGTGTTTCTCTGTCTCTGTTCTTTTCATTTATCTGTTTGTCTATGCTGATTACACTCTATATGGATGAACATAGTTAATTCACATCTGGTAGAGTAAATTCTTTTATGTTTTCAATGATAAAGCACTTGGGCACTCCAGCCAGCGACTGATGAGATACTTGCCAACACTTGTTGCCAATCTTCTGTGGTTTTTTTCCCCTTTTACTGCTGAGGTTGAAAACCTTTGCATTTTTTTATTGGGTTATCTTCCTCCTTTTCTTATTGGTACATCCTCTCTAAAAAGTTCCTGTTTAAGTTTCCTGTCCATTTTCTATTGAGTGTCAATTTTTTCCTTACAGATCTTTGTGAGTCTTTTAGCATTGATTCAAGCCTTTTGCAATTATCTTCTTTTGGTTTGCAGTTTGCTTTTTTACTTTCTTAATGGTGTCTTGTGATTGGTGAATGTTCTTTATTTCAATGTAGTCTATATTTATTTATTTGAAAATCGGAGCTACAGAGAGAGGGAGAGAGAGAGAGATCTTCCTTCTGCTGGTTCATTCCCTGGATGACTACAGCTGCATGGGCTGGGTTAGGCCAAAGCCAGGAGCCAGGAGCTTCATCCTGGTCTCCCACATGGGTGCAGAGACCCAGGCACTTAGGCCATTTTCCTCTGCTTTTCCAGGCTATTAGCAGGGAGTTGCATTGGAAGTAGAGCAGCTGAGACCTGAACTGGTACCCTTATGGAATGCCAGCACTATAAGCTGCAGCTTTAATTGCTACGGGACAACACTAGCCCCATCAATCTTTTCTTTTATGGGTAGTCTTCTTGATACGCTCTGTAGGATTTCTTTTCCTACTTCCAAAATCATGGAAATATTTTCATATTCTTTTCTTGAAAATTATTGTTTTACCTTTTGCAATTTGATTTTTTCCCCCATATCACTATCAGTTTGACTCAACATTGTTGAGTGTAAAAATTTGACCTTCCCCTATTGCCACTTCATCATAAATCATGTGTCCAGTGTGTTTAGCTCTATGTTTTGGGCTCTACTCTGTTCTATTGGCTTTTGTCTCTCCTTATGCGGGTATCACTCTGTCTTATTACTGTTACTTTATAATTCTTGATACCAGCAAAGCAAACCCACCTACATCTTACTCAAAAAAATTATCTTTGATATTGTTGATCTTTTCTAGTTATGTTTGTTTTCTATGTAATAAATTTCTGCTGTTACCTCTACTAATATTTCTACTTTGTTTGAATTTGTTTTTTTCTAACTCTTGTGATATATCTAGCCTACTAATTTTAAGGTTTTCTGTAATGTATATGTTTAGGCTGTGAATTTACTTCTAAGTACTGCTTTACCTGAACTTTACAAATTTTGTTATGCTATTTTCATTATCTTTTGTTTTTAGGATTCTGATTTCTTCTTTAGTCTGTGGATTACACAGACACGTACATCTTAATTTTCACATGTGTGAATTTTCTTTCTGTTATTGATTTCTAGCTTAATTGTATGTGGCTAGAAAAAATAACTGTGTCATTCCAGTAATTTGTGCTACAGTCTGCTTTTTGGTACAGTATATGGTCACTTTCAATAAAATGTTATATGTATTGAAAGGAACGTTACTATGAAAACCTTGGGTTCACTGTTCCTTATACTTGCATTAGGTTAAGTTGGTTAATCATATTTTTTAAAACTCCTGTTTATTTCTGGTGGATTGAACCTCTTATTCATATAATCTTCTTCCTTGGTGATGTATACTATCTTGAAGTCCAATTTGACGTTAATATAGCTCTATCACTTTCCTTTTGATTCGTATTCTTACGATAGGTCTGTTTTCATCCTTTTATTTCCAGTCTTCATCTAGCTTTATGGTTTAGCTGCATGTCTTAGAAGCCACATGTGCTTGGATTTTGTTTTTTTTTTTTTTAATCTGTTCCAACCATCCTTGGTATTTGCCTTCACTCTTGAGCTTGTTGATTTATTTGGTTTTATTTCTACCAGTTCATCATGTGCTATTCTTACCTGTTCTGTTCTCTTGCTTGCTTTCTAAACTTTTTAAAAATTCTTCCTTGTATTTTTGGTTCAATTCTTTTTTTATTTTTAGATTGATGCTTGCTTTATCAAAGACTCACATGAGCAATTTTTCTTACTCTCTTTTTCTTCTACTAATTTGGAACTTACATAACTTGTTGGTATTCTTTAAATGGTTACCCTACAAATTGCACTTGTGTCATTAGCTTAGCAAAGTGTAAAGTCCTTCAAAACCTTTGCCCTCCTCCTGTGTCATACACTTTAACTCTGTTTATTCATTCCCACATCTGTTTTTAATCTAGAATTCTATCTGGTTTTGTTTTCCAATCCTACTAGACATTATTACTTTATGTAGCTGGTATTCATGGTTATTAGGGATTTGCAATATTCTAATTATATCATTTATTTTCCATTTATGTCTACAAAAAAGCTAGATTTAATTTTTTTAAAGAATTATTTTTATTTATTTTAAAGACAGAGTTACAGAGAGGTAGAGCCAGAGAGAGAGGTCTTCCATTCCACTGGTTCACTCTCCAGTGACCACAACGGCCAGAGCTGAGCTGATCTGAAGCTAGGAGCCAGTCGCTTCTTCTGGGTCTCCCACACACATGCAGGGGCCCAAGGACTTGGACCATCTTCTACTGCTTTCCCAGTCCATAGCAAGGAGCTGGATAGGAAAAGGAGCAGCCAAGACACAAACCAGTGCCCATATGAGATGCCAGCGCTGCAGGCCGGAGCTTTAACCTGCTGTGCCACAGTGCTTTCCCCTAGGTTTAATTCTTGATTCATTTTATTTATTTACTAGATTCTATTGCAATGAATGAGTTTCATAGCATCTTCATTTTCTTTGTTTTTGGGGGGTATTATTGTGAATTCATGGATTCTTTAACACATTAGATTTTATTGTTTTAATCAATTACAGTTACTTTTCTTTTTTATATTCAAATTGGCCCACCTTTAGCCATTAAGAGCTTCTTGTTGCTTTCTGTGTCCTTGTTGATATCACATTAGTAGTCTTTGATGTTTACCCTCTGATTTTAGCTTGTTGATATGTTTGGATTTAATTCTGTGTACAGTAAGAACACAGGATGCTCCAGGCTCATCTTCAGTGTTTCTTCCCAAGATCTAAATCAACCCTTTGCCTGAGGATCCCTAATTCTTTTGAATGGGAAATGGTATTCGGAGGTCACAATCTGGACACTAAGACTGGTCGTTGCTGCTGGTTGGATATTTCTTCTAGGCTTTTTCAGTTGATAGAAATAGGGAATATTTATTTATTGGTCTGTTTGTTTAAGAGTAAATATATCCTGAGTTCATACTAGGATGTCTAATTGAAGTTCAGAGTTTTTATTTAACCTCATTGATCTTGCTTCTGTATCTTCTTTATCAGTTCTTGACAGCAACATTATCATTACTCATTTACTTTATTCCATAACACACAAAACAGTGCAACATTACCAGCATTATTTCTGACATTATAATAGCTGAAAATCCTTTTAAGAATCGTAAGAGTGATATTTGGCCTGGTGTTTCTTTCTTTCTTTTTTTTTTTTAAAGATTTATTTGAAAGTCAGAGTTACAGAGAGAGGGAGAGACAGAGAGCTCTTCCATCCGCTTGTTCACTCCTCAGATGGCTGCAATTGCTGGGGCTGGGCCATGCTGAAGCCAGGAGCTTCTTCCAGGTCTCCCACATGGGAACAGGGGCACAAGCACTTGGGACATCTTCCACTGCTTTCCCAGGCCATTAGCAGGGAACTAGATCAGAAGTGGAGCAGCCGGGACTTGGACCAGCGCCCCTATGCAATACTGGCATTGCAGGCCACTTTAACCTCTGTGCCACAACGCTGGCCCCTGCTGTCCTGGTGTTTCTGATGCCTGCATCCCATATCTGGGGGCCTGGGTTTGAATCCTACTCCCAGTTCCACCTTCTTGCTAATGTACACCCTGACACAGCAGGTGATGGTTCAAGTCTTTGGGTCCCTGCCACCATGAGGAGATATGGATTAAGTTCTTGGTTCACAGCATTTGGGGAGTGAACCAGCAGATGGCAGCTCTCACTGTCTCTTTCTTTCTGTCTCTTTGCTTATTAAGTAAATAAAAATTTAAAAACAGAAAGTTTTGCATGAGGCGTTTGTCCTTTAATAGTTTCCTATTAGGTATGTGGTCAAATTATTTTGCTTTAAAGAAACTTGAAATAATTCCTTGTATAGTTATATAACCAAGTAAATATGTAGTTAGAGCCATTTGTCTGATTTTGCTTCTGATGTATAGCAACTGCTGCTTTTTCTTTTTGATTTAGTTCTGTTTTTCAATTATATAAGATATGTATACAGTTCCAAGATTAAATCTACCAAATAAGATTTATTTAGAGAAATCTAATTTTGAACCCTATTCTTTCTACTGTATTCGCTGCATTGTCCTGTAGATAACTTTCTATGCTTTAGTTTTGTGATCTATCCTTTTTTAAAACAAACAGTATCAACAATCCTACTGCCCTTCTTGGACAAGTGGTAGCCTATAATACACATTTTATCTTTTTTTTTTTAAGATTTATATATGTATGTGTGTATGTATGTGAAAGGCAGAGTGGAAAGAGAGAGAGAGAGAGCTTCCATCCTTTGGTGCACTCCCCAGATGGCTGCAACAGCTCCAGCTGGGCCAGGCTGAAGTCAGGAGATAGGAACTCTATCCTTGTCTCCCACACGGGTGGCAGGGGCTCAAGTACTTGGGAAATTTGCTGCTGCTTTCCCAGGCACATTAGCAGGGAGCTGGATTGGAGGTGGAATGGCTGGTGTTGGAACTGGCACTCATCTGGGTTGCCTGCAATAGCGTAACCCACTGCACTACAAAGCCAGCTCCCATATTGTTAAGTTTTTGAATTTTTGCCAGTGTGATAAGCAAGAAATTCTATCTCTGAATTTTTAATTCAAATTTTCTTTCTATAAGTGAAGTTGAACATCATTAGCTTAGGGACTGTTTGTATTTCTCTCTCTCTAAATGATTTATGTATCCTACTCAGTTTTCTTTTTTGGGGGGGTTATTCTTAATATTTTTTAGAAGTTATTTGTAGATTGAAGAGATTAACTGATAAAATTATCCCTGATAGTGAAAATATTTTTCCCAGTTTGTTGTATGTCTTTTTACTTTGTTATTTAACATTGTTTTCATTTGTGTTTAACCATGAAAGAATTTTTACATAGTCAGAATTTTCAAGTTAAGACAATTAAGAAAGGCTCCTACCCCCCTGCCCTTTCCTGGCTAGAGAGGTTATTTCAAAGTAAATTTATTTTTAAATGATTTATCCAGCACTTATTGATCTGAAAAGCCTAGCCCTCTAATATCAGAACCTAGTAATTTCAAACTTTTTAAAAATTTAACAACATTTTAAATTCAGGTGTATCTTATCTTATTTTCTTCTTTTCAGAATAAGAAAATATTTGCTGTACACTTAGCACTGATAATTTTTGAAGGCTCTAGGAATTTACGTACACTATGTGATTTAGATTTAAAGAAATGATAAATATGTTATTTTTGAAATTATTGCAATAAAGGAAATGAATAGCACTTTCCTTGTACCTGAGTCCCTCCTTTGTTATTTGTTTTGTCCCTTAGGTGGAATCATTCTAGCTTTGTTTCTCTTCCTTTGTAGATCTTTCATTTGTCCGTGCTTTTGAGTTTACATATGTTAATGTTTATGGGACTCACGTTCTAGTCAGTGCTGCTCATGAAGCCGGAGTGGAAAAATTTATTTATGTCAGCACAGATGAAGTGTATGGAGGTAGCCTTGACAAGGTAAGCGTAGAAAATGTGTGTGTCACCTCTTACCACGAACCATGAAACAGATCTGTCCTCTTACCTACACTGGCACTCTCCAAAATGTTATTCCATTGTCTCTTCTGTTCAGATCAAATGATGCTGCCCCAAATGGGAAATGACAGCCTAGTGTTGCACAGATTAAACATCACTGGACTGTTTGGCAGGAGAGCACCAGCTCTCCTACCTTTTTGTCTTAACAAACATGATGAATGTTATTCCCATGGATGAATGCATAAGTGAGTCAGATGGCAGTGTCCCTACCATCTGCTCACCTTCCTCTTCTCGTAAGGAAAACACTGGAATGTCGAAGAGAGAGTGTGCAGTTATTGTAGACATTGAAATTGTAGACATTATATTTTGTCCACAAAAATATGACTCTATTCTCCCGTCTCCATTTTTCATAGTCAGTATTTCAGTGACCTCATTTTGTTTTATTTATTTTATTTTTAAATAAATTTTTATTTTACTAAAGCACAAACATGCTGAAAAAAATCACATTGTTCAGAAAGACTTTACCATGAGAAGTGAGAAGTGGAGACCCCAACTGTTTCTTCTCAATCCCTAGTCTTGCTTTTGAGAAGCAACCATTGTCATATCTCTGTAATTTTTTATCAGATAAATGACTTCCTTCCTGCACCCTTGTTACCATCTACCAGATCTGACACAGAAGCCAGAATCATGGCATTATGCTCCTCAGGCCCTCTCTGTGTTTTTACCCTGGCTTCAAGCTTTGACAGGTCCTGGCCTCCCACAGCCCTCTGGTCTCATCTCCCATCTGTTTTCCCTCACAGTCTCTTTTTGGGGTTCCTTTGGAGACCTTACAAGGCCTTGGCACTTGCTGTCTCCTGTGCTAGCCTTGTTGGGTTGTTGTGAGCACTGCATGCCGGCAGGGTTCAAGGAATGGCTTTTATAACACAGTGATTGACATTTCAAATTCGTAATAAGTTTTCTGAAGTTCCTACTTAGAAAGTGTGCATAATACTTTTCAACTATTTTTTTTTGAATCAGGAATTTGATGAATCATCACCCAAACAACCTACAAATCCATACGCGTCATCCAAAGCGGCTGCTGAGTGTTTTGTGCAGTCTTACTGGGAGCGGTACCAGGTAAGAAGTGGTCTCAGTCACTCCTGATGCATTTTCCTTCGGACTTAGGTATCGAAACTCCCAAGTCGGCATCCATTTTTAGAGTAGAAGCACAACTTCAGACAAGGTATGTAGGAAGGAATTTGAACAACTGATGTACTGTATTGTGTGGACAAAATAAGACCTACCTGACTTGTAGAGTTCATAATTAAAAGCATAAATTGAATATACATTTTTTTTCCTATTTCAGTAACTGGTTACAGCTACAGTATTACAGCCATAGTGAAAACTCTGTTGGAATCCTATGAGATGGAGGTGGACAGATTCCCCTTCCTGCCACGTGCTTCCATCTGCATGATCAGTCCCTCGGCTCCTCACGGAGGGGAGGTCGACTTGCTTCTTTGGTGGCTCTGACAGCCTTACCCAATATTAGTCTTCAGTCCAGATCTCCTGCTTTGGCTTCCCACTGACTTGCGGCGTTATTAGGAACAGGGTCAGAAAGCCAAGCCAGGCCGGCGCCGCGGCTCACTAGGCTAATCCTCCGCCTTGCGGCGCCGGCACACCGGGTTCTAGTCCCAGTCGGGGCACCGGATTCTTTCCCGGTTGCCCCTCTTCCAGGCCAGCTCTCTGCTGTGGCCAGGGAGTGCAGTGGAGGATGGCCCAGGTGCTTGGGCCCTGCACCCCATGGGAGACCAGGAAAAGCACCTGGCTCCTGGCTCCTGCCATCGGATCAGCACGGTGTGCTGGCCGCAGCGTGCGGGCCGCAGCGGCCATTGGAGGGTGAACCAACGGCAAAGGAAGACCTTTCTCTCTGTCTCTCTCTCTCACTGTCCACTCTGCCTGTCCAAAAAAAAAAAAAAAAAAAGCCAAGCCATGGAAATCCTTATGATATTCTTGCCTTTTGTAGCATTGGTCCTTTCCCCTTTCGTGGAAGCTCTTTATATTTTTAAGGGTTAGGACAATGTGGACAGTCCACTTTGAAGTTTTATAGCTAACGAAATGGACACTCTTAGAAGTGGTCTCTGAAGTAATCAAGTGGAAAGTCCTTAGTGGTCTGCTGTCAGACTCGCAAGCCCACCTCCACCTGCATTCATCCTCGCCTTGTCCAGACAAGGAGCTTCCTTACAGAATCTCTGCCATCCCTGAATGCCATCCTCCGCAGTACTTTTAGGAACCTTACATTAGAAAAAAATCTCTTCACTCTCTGCTTGAAATGTGTGAAATTGTCTAGACAGAGGCGCTTGTATTTGAAAACTTGGTTATCTTTAAAATGATGATACCAGACTTTTCCATTACCTTAATGTTGAATACTCTTTAAGTTTCCAGTTGTCATCACAAGAAGCAGTAATGTTTATGGACCACATCAGTATCCAGAGAAGGTAAATTTTACTTCTGAATGCATAATGATGTTTTTATTGGCTATGACATATCCTTATTTAAAATAATCTCTCTTGAGTTTTTCTCTAAAATAATTTGTTATATTTATCCATAATGATAGATGTTGTAAAGGCCACATCCAAATCCCATTGACTTAGAGTGTGAGGACTTCACTTGAAGTCTCAACTTGACACCAACTGGTGTGACCTTAGGCCGTTTGATGATCATTACCTTTAAACAAGGGATAATGAAAATACTTAAAATTTTGGTGGATCCACTGAGACAATGTGTGTGAAAACGCCTTGTGTTTTCCAGGACCCTAAAGAGCCATAGAGGCCTCCCACCACTGCCAAGTGCAGTTAGAACTCTGAGTTTGCGGTCAGACTAATATATGTCAGCAGAGACAGCAAGTTAAAAGCCAGTCAGATAATGATGCATGAAGCTTGTACCATGTTTGACTTCTACCAGCTGTCTAACTATTCTCCAACTCATTTTTGTTACTGTAGGCTTGAATGGCTTCCAGAAAGTAATATAAGTAGTGCACAAGGGAATGTAATTAAAAGGTTAAAAATGCCTGCACAGTTGGTTTTGTATCATTAAGTGCAATTTTCGGTAACTGTTGCCTGCTCTGCCTACATTTGGAACCTGGTTTTCTCTCTTGCCAGTTGGTTATATTGATCTATTTGCCCAAGGAAAAGGGTAAATGGTAATAATAGCTACTTTGCTTAATTTTCAGAGTATTCTTAACAGGGTTATTATAAATTTAGTAATTTCTTTGATTCAAGGACAATGACTTTTTTTCATAACTCCACAAGCACTTAGTAAGTAGGTAGTTACATATAAAGCAATATTAAAGTATGATTCCTGGCCTTATGAAATCCACCCAAAGGTGAGCTTTTTATGAGAACAAACTTTACATGAGGGCTTCTGAATTTTTCCATTATTAGTTTATCTTAGGGTAACCCATTTTTACAAAATATCAAACTGTCTGAGTTGTTTAAGTTCATTAAGTATTAGATTTTTTATAAACTCTTGGTGAAAGGAATTTAAATTTAGCCATATGTATATTTCTTAATAATTTAATTCTATGATGAGTTCTGATTCATTTTAATGAGTTAATTTGCCAAGTCTGAAATGGTATTTAAATATTCTTTTAGGTTATTCCAAAATTTATATCTTTGCTTCAACACAACAGAAAATGGTATGTTGTTATTTACCGTGATCCCTGGATGCTTTTCTGGTGTGTCTTTTGGTAGTATTTGGTGACAGTCTTTTCTTGAAAGTGAAAAAGTTTTAGAATTGGAGGCCATGGAATTACCTGTCCCATCAGATTTAAGAATTTTTTCTTCATACATTGTCATAGTTTTCAAAATAATTATGCTATGTAAGTCATTATAATTTACTTACTAAGATAATTTCAGTTCGCAAATGATCTAGCATAGAAATTGGAATTACAGCATTAGAATGTGTATCTTTATATAATTTTACTTTCTCAAAGGATTTATCTGATAGTAATGAATTCATGGATAAAGTTAATGAGTAGATATTTCTCAGGGATCATGTGTATTTGCCACTGTCTTACTGAGTACCCTCAGGAGGCTTGGGGATCAGGTACAGTTAGGAGAATTTGGATTTTCAGTCAGCAATTCCTGGAACCCTTGGGGAATTGGATTTTCTTGAGTTGAATGGGTCATTTCTTTACCGTGATGTGGGAGAGCTTACTCTTTTTTTTTTCCCCCACATTTTGATTCTGCTTCATTTCATCTTTTTAGCTGCATTCATGGATCAGGGCTTCAAACAAGAAATTTTCTTTATGCTACTGATGTAGTAGAAGCATTTCTCACTGTCCTCAAAAAAGGAAAACCAGGAGAAATTTATAACATTGGAACCAATTTTGAAATGTCAGTTGTCCAGCTTGCCAAAGAACTAATACAACTGGTATGTATCTCTTGTGATACTCTCAGAATTGTCACTAATTTAGTCCATATCAAGAGTTTGTAGTTTACTCAATTTCAAAGCAAATGAGTAGAAAATGAAGTTCTGAAGTTGTATCCCTTATTTTTCTTCATTCACTGTATATATCTTAATTGTAAGAAATACCTTAATTTCAGAAATATAAAATTGTGTGTCCTAGAATCAAGGAACAATGCTGTTCCTGTATAAAATAATTATGGTTATGCATGCACATTAGTGTTAGCAAACATTGGTTGTAAGTGTTATGGTTTGCTAGATGAGGGACCCAAATAGGTAACCAAAAGTTGAGAATATTCATTTTCTCCTGAAGTTTATGCAATGTGTATTCTTTCTGAGCTTCGGCTAGAACTTGGATTGCAGAGTATGGCAAGCCTTAGGAAAGTGATGCTCATTTCCGCCGTCTCCCCCGCTTCGAGGCAGTTGTTCCTCTTGTCTTTTTAATCAGCTCTGAAACACCATTGTTATTCTCTGCTCTCATTTTATAATTTGGCTTAAAAACCTCTTCCATTTTGACAGATCAAAGAGACCAATTCAGAGTCTGAAATGGAAAATTGGGTTGATTATGTTAACGATAGGTGAGTAACAAGTTAAAACGCTGGAGGAAGGTTGCGAAATCTTTAGTACTTATAAAACTATAAATTATAGAGACTTAACTGAAAATAGTTTATCTCGAATTTTTTGGTAACATATTGCTTTCCTAACTATGAATGCCGTATGGATTAGGTGTAGCACTATTACTTACTAGCTATGTGACTTAAAGAAAGTTAGTGACCCTTTCCAAGTCTGAGGTTAATTAAAAAGCATGTGACCCAGGTCTTGGCACTGAAGAGTTCTAATAAGGTTGTATGTATTCATGTCTTCATGTATCAGACATTTATGAAGGGACTTCTGGGTGCCAGCCACTGCACGCATACCTAGCTTATGGCTGAAGGTAAGAACAGGATAAGGCACAGAGTGGGTTAGGTGTCAGGGATTGTAGATGACATTTTTTATTTAATTTGCAGATTTTTTGTGATAAGCGTGTCACCCGGGAGAGAATCACTTTACAAAAATAAATTGTATTATGGTGAAGATCTCTGAGTTATATCTCTTAGTACTTAAGTTTGTAAATATTTATCTACAATGTCATTTTAAATCTGTTCTGTTTTCCAAGACCAACCAATGACATGAGATATCCAATGAAGTCAGAAAAAATACATGGTTTGGGATGGAGACCTAAAGTGCCTTGGGAAGAAGGAATAAAAAAAACAAGTATGTTATAAATTGACCTTTTAGAGGGAGATTCAGAAAAACTTAAATGAAAAGAAGTTTATTTTTAGAACATCGTGTGAATTCAGTAGAATATTGTGATGAATCATTTGTAGTTTTCAAATTGTTACATTCACTATATTTCTAGTTATAGTACTGTGATTCCTAAACATTTTGAATTTCATAGGCTAACTTGTGATCAGTTTTCTTGTATCTTACTATCATTAGTCAGTTTCCTATTTCATTGATTCTGAGGTACACGTCTTTTCACTTTCCTCCCACCTCTGAAAGATGGGTGTTTTGTAATCCCTAATTTTTTGTAATTCCCATTGTACCTTTCCTCCTTAGTGGCATGTAAAATTACAGTCTGTCTTAAGATCAGTGCATCTTAGATCACTGAAATATAGATAATTGCAGGCTCTGAGCATGTTAAGTCATTTTGTATTGAAACAAACTGGTTGGCAACAAACTCAGTGTGCACCAATAAATCTATTAAAGTAAGTGCATATAAATTTGCACATTTATATATATATACATATGTTAAAGCTTTATTTATAAATATACTTATGAAGAAAGATATATCCAAATGCAGGAAAAAAAGTCTTGATTCAGAGCTTGAAGTATAAATACTTGTACTAAATATTTAAAAGCAAAATTAAAGATAATCTAAAACCATCAAGTTTCTTTTAACTAAAAAAGTGATATATTGATAGTATAGCAACATAAAATAATTTTATGTTAATGGAGAGAAATTCACATGTCACTATGCCTCTGATGCAGTAATATCATATTTATATGAATATATATTATACTTTTTTCTATAACCTTAAAAGCAATGCAAATGACTTATCTCTGCTTCTTTTAATTCCTTAAAATCAGAATGTCTTAAGTAGTGAAACCAACAAATTCAGCATTGAAGGGGATTTTAAGTTCAGAGAAGAAAAACAATAAGGTTGATTTTGAATTCTAAGTTTTTCAGGTGGGGAAATATCTTCTGATTAACTTCATTATAAGTTCAAAATCAAATTGCATATGTCATTGAATTACCCTCGCCTGCTGATTAACTGATGGACAAGACTTTTTGTACTTAGCAGGGACTCAGGAAATGTTAGTTAATTGATATTTAGTTTTTAATTTTTAATTTTTGTCTTTTATGTTTTTCTATTAGTTGAGTGGTACAGAGAGAATTTTCATAACTGGAAGAATGCGGAAAAGGCATTAGAACCCTTTCCAGTACAACCGCCATTTATATAACCAGGACAGTTTCCAGATAAAGAAGAAGATTATCCTACCTCAACAAATGATAGCAAATCAAGTGACCAAATGAAGTGTCCTCTCTTCATCTGGAATTAGATTCATGACTTTCTGTGTGAAAGTCTAGTGCAAAATGCTTCAGTCTTTGGAAGAGTTTCAGTGTTGGCACACGATTTCCTTATCAAAATTCTTTCAGAAATTTTTTTTCTCCTAGAAATTAAGAAGAAGTAGACAAAGAAAGACTGTCCCAAGGCATGGGCCAGAAGTAGTTGTCTCCTGTTCTGAGAACAAAGACAGGATGTGGTGCCGGGAAGATGGCCATGAACTCAGTGGGCTTCCCAACCATTCCCAGGACCTGGGGAATCAAGTTGCCATTTGTAGGCAATATAGGATTAGTCTCACACCCTAATTTACTTTTTTTTTTTTTTTTTTAAATAACAAGCCTGAAGTTCTGCTATAATTGTTTTAAAAACAGAACAAAATGGAAGCATATCTAGCACTTTTTAACTTTTGATGATTCTAAAAAATAGATAAGTTAAATGCTTTTTAAAAGAAGGTTGTAAAGTTTTTATGTTTTCAAAATTAGGTGTTGATCTATATGTAACTTCTGTTAGAGAAACTTTATCATGTGGTAGCCATTTAAAATGATTTTATTTATGAAATTCTCAATATTGTAAGGTATTTAATGTAGAATGTGACCTTTTTTTAGTAATGTATTTTTATGTTGGTATAGAAAAATTAAAATGAAAATTTGGAGGGAGGGTGTTGTGGCTCAGTGGGTTAAGCCACTGCTTGGGACGCCTGTATCCGTTATCAGAGTGCCTGGGATTCAGACCCTTCTCTGCTTCTGATCCAACTTCCTACTAATGGGACTGGAAGGCAGCAGTTGATGGCCCAAGTACTTGGAAGACCCAGATGGAGTTCCTAGCTCCTGGCTTCAGCCTGGCCCAACCCAGGCCATTGAGGGCATTTGGAGAGTGAACCAGGAAATGAAAATATCACCCTCAATCTCGCCCTTGCTTTTGTCTCACTCCCCCTCTCCTTTTCCCCTGTGTCTCTTTGTCAGTCTGCCTTCCAAATAATAAATATTTTTTAAAAACCCTAATTTCTAAAAAATAAAAATAAATTATGTATTTGTAATCCTTCTTTGCCCTAAAGAATATTTTTTAAAAACTTGAAAAAGTAACTGATTGGATTTTGGGTTGAGAAAGGGAAAGGAAGCTGGGTGGCCCTTTATTAAGAGTGTGGGTTTTAATATGGAGGCTTTGAAACTCTCCATTAAAATGTCTTCATTCACTTTTTAAATATGATTGGTACTAGACACGCACTGTCCTGACTGAGGGTAAGAGGAAGGCAGTTACGTCAGCTGGGTCTTGCAGGAAGCAGATGCCTATACAGATGAGAAGGAGGAAGCAACACTGGGCAGTATAGTGTTGCTGGCACTGGCAAGGCAGGCAGAAAGGCCAACCAATATGGAAAAAGGTCTGTTGTGCAGATCAACTGCTGGCCCCTTCAAGATGGAAAGGGCCTGGTGACATCAGCTTATTACCAAGTAATTTGTTGTTTTCTTCAAAGAATAATTGCTAGAGTGGGGGCCAGGGTTTGTCTCTTGCCCACACGTTGCCGGTAGCTAGTTTGATCATAGTGAGAATACATGCCGTGAGCCCCAAGAGCAGGTTTCTCTCTGCAGCTCTGCATACTTCTTTCAGGGGTCCAGCATAGTTCTGGGGTGGGTGGTGATAAAGGCTGGCCAGTGTTAACCAACTAAATCATTTTCTCTGCTGGAATATTCAGCGCCTCTTCCACCATGGTTACCTTCCGGTGGGCGTTAGCATGCAGGTGACCTAACTGGTGTCAACCGCTAGGTCAGACGCTTGTTATGGAGGATTCTGGCACATGCTACAACATGGCTGACGTGAGGACATTCTGCTCAGTGAGAAAGCGAGACACAAAGGGCAAATAGGATGTGATTCCACTTAGGTGAGCTACCTAGAATAGGCTAATTCCTAGAGAGGACTTCCCAAAGGCTAGGGGCAGGAACAAAGCAGAGTTATTGTTTATCATGTTGAATTTCTATTTGGGGTGATTAAAAAGTTTGGAATGTGGATAATAGGAATAGTGTTACAACATTGTAAATATATCTAGTGTCTGAACTGTACACTTGAAAGTGGTCCACATGGTACATTTTATGTCTATTTACCTCAATAATAATTTTGAAAAATGTGTTCCCAGACCAACAGTGTCTGTATTACATGTGAACTGATAGAAATGCAAGTTTTTGAGCCCTGCCACTGGTTTACAGAATCAGAAACTCGGGTATGAGGTGTAGCAATTCTGTAATAAGAGCTGCTGCTCTACAATGGGAGATGGGAAGATGAGGCTGGAGAGGAAGGGGGTGGCCTGGCAAGGGAGGGAGGACCTGGTCTGTTACTCTCTGATACATGGACTTTATCCTGCTAGCAAACAGCTAATTCAGGTCAGATGTCTGGAATTTATCTGTTAGCTGTTTCAAAAACAATACATGCTCATTGCAGAAAAGTTGGAAAACAACCAATCTTAAAAAATTATCCATAATTGGGACTGGGACTGGCATAGTGGGTTAAGCCTCTGTCTGCAGTGCTGGCATCCTATGTGGGCACTGGTTCGAGTCCTGGCTGCTCCACTTCTGATCCAGCTCCCTGCTAATGTGCCTGGGAAAGCAGTGAAAGATGGCCCATGTTCTTGGGCCCCTGAACCTGCATGGAAGACCTTGAAGACACTCCTGGCCTCTGGCTTTGCCTGGCCCAGCCCTGGCTGTTGCAGCCATTTGGGGAGTGAACCAGCAGATGGAAGACCTCTGTCTCTACGTCTCTCTCTACAGAACTCTTTCACATAAATAAAATAAATCTTTTTAAAAAAAGCACTCTTGTCCTGTGCCAGCAGCAGTGTCAGTATCTGATCTCTCTCACCATTTTACCTTCTCTTTCTTACTGGCTTCGTGTTTCTCTGCCCATTCCTTTAGCTGGGAGTTCTCTGTCTTGGCACTGTTGACATTTGGGGCTGGGTGATTGTTGCTGTAGGAGGCTGTCCTATGCTATCTAAGATGTTTTGCAGCATCCCTAGCCACTACTAGCCATCACACCTGTTGTGACAACTATAAATTCCTCCAGCTGCCAGTGCTGGTGGAAATCACTGCCCTAGGTGACAATGTCACCCAGCACTGCTTCCTTGGCCCCAACACTTACTTGGCTTTCTGGACGATGCCATTCATTCCTGAACCCTTACCTTCCATCCTGATGCTGACCAGGACGCCCACATTTCTTTTCTCTGGCACCCGCCTTTTTTTTTTTTTTTTTTTTTTTTTTTATGAGGGTCTAGGCTCAAAGTATCCATGGCCTGCTAGATCATCCCATCTAGATTCCAAAAGATACCTCAACTTTTACAGATATGTAACAGAACTTACTATCTTCCCCACAGCCCCAAATTGTTCTGTCTCCTGCGTCCTCAGCCTTGAATTGTGTAACCACTCATGCTTCCGGAAGCCAGCAGCTCTGATGCCATCGTTGCCTGTTCTTTCTCTCACTGCTCAGGTCCAGTCATGAACCTGATAGAGCCTCCCTTAGCAACCCTGGCAATCTGGCCTCTCTTCTGTGGTTCTTGCTGCTGCCCGTTTTGCTACTTTCTGTACCACTCTCCCCACTGCTTTCTCTGCCTCCAAGACCCCCTCCACTTGCAGGGTTAGGGTTGCATCTCACATCTTCCCTTTATTTTTCCCCAGTCTCAAATTCTTGTAAATCTAACCACTCCTTGACGTTAACAATAGTTTTTGGTCCCCTGTTGCTCATGCTTCAGAATCCGCAGGGCAACTCGCCCAGCTCCATACACTCCTTTAGCTCCATGTGCAGCCGCTCACGCGTGGCCACAGCAGCCTCAGGACGCCCAGGCCTGCCCAGGCCCTTGAGTTCTCAGTGCCTCTGGGTGGCTAAATCCATCTTTCCAGAAGTGCACCTTCTTCCTTGAAGAACTCCTGACCAATCTTCAAAACCCCACCTCAGTGTCACCTGCTCACCAGAGCTGACCTTGCCTGCAGATGTGGAGGTTCTGCCTTCGCTTTACTTACAGGATTTATGTGTGTGTAGGTTTGTTTCCCTGCCCCTACACTTGGACTCCTGGGAGTGGAATCACCTCTGTGTCTGGGCATCTTTGTAGGGTTTCAAAGGAGAAGGAGGTTGGGCCTGGGTTTGTCCTTGGCCTCTTGCTCCTGACTCCAGCTTGCAGTAGGCAGTGGTGATGGCTCCAGTGACTGAACCCCTGACACTCACACAGAAGACCTGGACTGAGTTCCCAGCCTCCAGCCTGGCCTCAGCCCAGCTCTGGGCTTTGTGGGCATTTGTGGAATGAACTAGCAGATGGGAGCTCAATCTCTGTGTCTGCCTCTCAAATAAATAAGTAAAAGTTTAAAATCCATGTAGAATGTGGTGGAGTGAGAAGGCCATGCCAAGGTGGCCACTGGCAAGCGAGCGTCAGTTACTCAGGAATGGCTTTGAAACCCGCCTGGCAATGGAAACTGCCTGGCAACAGGCTGTGATTGGATGGCTTTGGAAACTGCCCGGCAACAGGCTGTGATTGGTTGGGGCATAGACCGCCCCTTGACCAGATTGGCTGGTCTTGGCTATATAAGATGTTGTACCAACTGAAATAAATGAGTCTGCAGGCTGCTTGCCTCAAGCCCGCTTTCACCCGACTCCCAACTCCCGGGGTCTGTGTGGTGACTCTGCGCCTCTTGCCCCCACCATGCTCCTCCTCTCAGAAACAAATCTACTGCAACATTGTTGAGAAATCAACTGCAACAGTAGTTTTAAAGGAGCAGGTCTCTGTCGCTGTCCCTTTGTCTCTGAGCTTCTCTCCACCCTTCCTCTCTCCACACACACACACACACACACACACACACACGTCACCCCATCCATCTCCGTCGCCAGGCAGAACCCCTGCCTTTTTCACACTCCATTGTCTGACTACATGATGCCCATTTCCCCCCTGGAATTCCACCCTTTAAGAAAGAGGGCAACCAATCTTGCAAGTCTTGTGCTTGTTTCTGATGTTGTTCATGTTTTGTAGTTGTTATTGTTTAGAAAGGCAGATGTTTGATCCTCAAATGCCAGTCTTTAAGGGATTGTTCTTCGAATCGCTCATAGCTTTTTCACAGTATTTCTAATACAGCTGTGTTTATAGCTAAACTCTGTATATTCCAACTGACACACTTTGAGTATTACCCAGTGACAGAACACACTGTTTTTCTTTAGTTCCAATATAACTTGTTTATCCCTTAATTCAGAAAATGGCAACTCCCTTGCATCATCTTGATTTAATAAAGTCAATTTTGAGGAGAAAATGAAGCAATTGTAACTCTCACTCCTCTTATTCTCTCTCTAAGCTACTGGAAAGTCATCCAGCTAAAGGTCTCATAAGCTCTGTACTTGGCTTCATCCCTCCTCTGCTGACTTGGAATGAAAGCAGAAAATAGTTGTGAGTCAACTAGACGGGAACAGGGGAAGTGCACTCCCAGATTAAAAGGCTGAAATGCTAAATAAAGGAGGCCAAAAAAGCCCTTGAGAAACACCTTTCTATTTCTAGAAAAATTCTAAACTTTAATTAGTGGCCCTGGAGCTCTGGTCTTCCTTTGTTTGTTTTTGTTTGTTTGTTTTGTTTTGTTTTGTTTTTGAAACAATAAACTTAGGTGAAAATATAAAGTAATTTTTCTTTGCCAGGAAAAAAAATCTCCGTGGCAGAAATCTTCATTTTAGTTAGTTGGATATTAGAAATCAAATGAAAATTCCAATTGTTAATATTTAGAAAATGCATGTTCTTTTAACCTTATCTGCAGTTCAGAGTTTTAAACCCTTGCAACATTCGAAATAACAGCACTCCCTTTGCCTCCACAGATATTTCAGCTCTCATAAAAAAGAATAGTGTACCACACAGCTAGAATGAAATCCATTTAACATTCTCAGGAGTTGAAATTGTGGTTGCTTAAGTTAATGGACTAATCAGACCATAGTTTTAGATGATGTTACGGCAATATTCTAATTACCGCAATCTGATTTTCCTTAGTAATTGTGAAGGTCAAAACTGAAAGCCTGATTCAAAAGGGAAATTAAAAGTTAAG